ACACAGGTCATATAGTATCATACCATCCCCCCTTTAATTTATAATGATACAATAGAATAAAATATCCTACTTGGGGGTGGGGGAAATCAATGAAAAACAGTTCACAGTCCACTTATGTGCCATTACAGAATACCTGGGGGTTCTCTCCCACCATTAGTTGCCATATTGCTTTCTAGGCATGATACAGAAATAAGTTCAGATATTTTATACAATTGCAATAAAATATGAATAAATATATTCCACAAAGATTACCTTTGGTTTAGAATGGAAGGTTGTTCAATGTTCCATCCACCTCCGTTTCCAGTAAGCATGGTAACTTGTTTGGTCAATTTATTTGAAATGTCTTCACATTTGTTCATAAGCCTTATAACTACATCTCTTTCTTGGATCAGTGTTTTACAGTGCCATATCAAATCTTCTGATAAGCCATTAGTTTTGGACATCTTTGTGAACTATGGCACAAAAAGAAAAATAATTGAATAGTTCAGATCTAGGAAAGAGAAAGGCAATCCTGATTTCTTTATGAGGAAAACAGGTTGGCTAATTTAAACTTTGACTTGGTGAGCTTATAATCAACTACTAGCGAATCTGACTCTTCATGTTTATAATTGAATTGCTACTTGTTTCTCTTTTATATTCTACTGTCACACATCAAACTTATTATGTTAAAATAAAATATATCTTACTTCAAAAAATGCATAATCCCAAACTTGTTACTTTGACCCTGGCAAAATTCTCTTATAGGGGAAACATTAACACATAATTGTTACTATCGCCTATCAAGTTTTTAAAAACATTTCAAAATCTTAAATTCACTTTTCCCTAATACCAAAGGTAACAGTATCAAATGTAGTCACTGCAAATCTAATCTGTTATCTCCATCTCCATTTGTCATTTCCTATGACTATTACATATTAAGATTAATCTTCTTAAAACATATTTTTCCACATCTATCATCAAAGTGTAGCCCCTCAAGTTTTCAAAACTCCAATTATTTGTCACTTGATGTTCTACTTCTAAATAGAGACTACCAGTGGAAAGATATTACATGAATCAAAAGTTAACTATGACCAATTTAATAATCAACTAAGGTTTTAAAAAAATACAATTTCAACATAAAACTATAAATGGTTCTCTTTGAAAACTCACAGAACTTCTCTTTCAAAATACAGTTGTATTTATTTTTCAAAAGGAGGCACTGAATACTTCATATATAAAAGCTATATCAGAATTATAATGTTTTAGATAGATAGTTGAAAAAAAATATATTCTAAAGAACACGACAAAAAATATTTTTAGTGAAGAAGATGAGAAACCCCAAAAGTTATTTGAAATATTTGGGGCAAAACTGAAAATCCTGTAAGCCAGAACCGAATGTAAAAAACTAAAATAAAACCATGTATTAGGAAAACACCACATGTAAGTTTTATTCGTGTGATCCTATTTAGCATATTTTTCCAAGTTATAACAAGAATCACATTAAGAACTCTAATCACTATGATCACAGTATTTCTAAGTTCAGCAAAAGGCTCAATCAATAGTAATTAAATACTTTCGGGATATGCTAAGATAATTTAATAAAATACAGTTTATAACAGTATACATTTTCCATATTTATCCTAGAAAAACTTGGCAAGATACAAAATATCCATTAGCACTTCAAAAATGGCACTGTAAATAAAATACTAAGTTTATTTGCACACTACATTTTTCACAGGGACAATATTGATAATCACAATGTGATCTCCCACTCCCCCTACTTTGTGCTTTTCAGGGGAAAGATCTATGCATAAGCAGTATAAATAAGAATCAGTGTCTTAAGGAGGTTCTATTAGAACTTTTAGCTAAAATACTTTCATTTTTAAATGCAGTAAAAAATTATAGGCCCAAAATCCAATCTCAAGCTGGTTGTAGTACGTGTGTGTAATATACGTACATGTGAGAGAAAAAAAAAACAAATTAACCAAAAAATAAGGAATGAACACACATAGCCATTTATGTGCTAGAAACTATTGGATACCTCTTATTCAGTAATTCATTTAATCCTCATAACAATTACAAGACTAGTCTACCAAATCTAGATGAAAATACTAAGGTTCAATTTCAAACAGTCACAAAGTTGGGTAAAAGAAAAAGTCCATAATCTTTTCACTAACTAGAACTTCTCTAAATAAAATAATTTAAGACCTTAAAAGTTCAAAATAAACTTTTCTTTCTGTAACCAACTACCATTTATTATGTTATTTCTTAACAGAAATTACTCTAACTGGTGAAGTATCTGATAGATAGACACAGCCCCTGTCCTTGTGGTCTATGATCACTGGGAAACACAAGTAACAATTTCAAGGGTAACCCTCTGGTATAAACAAGGGAAAGAGCAAAAGTTCATGGGCACTCATCACAAAAAGACTAGTAACATCTAAGACCTAGTAATTCCTTACAGAGTAAGAAGGCCAGAAATAATAAAAGAACTGTTTTAATGGAAAGATAAATTCAAATGTCAGAACCTAGAGAAGCAAAGGACAAGTCTGAACAGGAAGGCACTAAGGGTATGAATCATTTTGATGAGTTCTAAATGGAACTTACGGGCATTAAAAAGCTGTTGAAAAGTTTTAGGCCAGAAAGTGAAAAGATAGAGAGTTCCTGCTTAGACAGAACTCTACAAAAGCAATGTGAAGAAGGCTTGAGAGCAAACAACTATTAAGAAGGCTATGAGTTGAGAGACAATAAGAAACTGATAGATTCATGATCTTCCGGAGGTAGAATCCATTAAGTGTGGGGAGATGAGTGAAAAGAGTTAAGCCTGACTCCCAGAATTCTGGTTTCAATATAACTGATTAGTAATACCAGAGGCGTCTAAAATATGATGGGCCCAGGTGGGCGGATCACTTCAGGTCAGGAGTTCAAGACCAGCCCCGCCAACATGGCAAAACCCCGTCTTTACTAAAAACACAAAAATTAGCTGGGTGTGGTGGTGGCTACCTGTAATTCCAACTACTTGGGAGGCTGAGGCAGGAGAATTGCTTGAATCTGGCAGGTGGAGATGGCAGTGAGCTAAGTTCATGTCACTGCACTCCAGCCTGGGTGACAGAGCAAGACTCTGTCTCAAAAAGGAAAAAAAAAACCTGACAGGAAATTTAGGCAACTGGAAAAGACTTTAGAGTTGACATAATGACAAATATACGGAAAAATAAGCAAACAGAAAAACCGAGACAACTAGAAAAATGATGAGAAAAAAACAAAAAATAATCATGTCGTATACTACATGGTTCTTCAGTGAAAGGCATTTGCATAGTCATAACAATGCAGACACTAAAAATGATCTTCGAAATTACCATGTTATTAACATATATTAATAGAACTGGGGAACAGAAAATGGGCAAGTGAAGTGAGAGACCACGAGAGCTAAATTCTATTGTCTATAACATTAAGTTGATAGATATGACCTACAAATGACAAAAAAAAAAGGGCATTATATTACCTCAAGATATGGAGGTGATAAGAACAATCAGACAAAAGCCATGAAATAAGTTATCTGCAGTGTGGGCAACAGGCTGGGGAAAAGGGTGGATATGGATTTTCTCGGGGGTGCGGGGACAAGCCTATAGAATTATTTGTGAATCTAAGTACGTGTGTAAATAATAAAAGTAAAAACATTAACAAAAAGTAAAGAAACTCAATAGCTGGCAGAGTGCGGTGGCTCACGCCTGTAATCCCAGCACTTTGGGAGGCCGAGGCAGGCGGATGACAAGGTCAGGAGTTTGAGGCCATCCCAGTCAACATGGTGAAACCCCATCTCTACTAAAAATACAAAAATTAGCTGGGTGTGGTGGTGCGCACCTGTAGTCCCAGCTACTCAGGAGGCTGAGGCAAGAAAACTGCTTGAACCTGGGAGGCGGAGGTTGCGGTGCGCCGAGATTGCGCCATTGCACTCCAGCCTGGGCAAGAGTGCAAAAAAAAAAAAAAAAAAAAAAAAAAAGAAATAAAGAAAGAAACTCAGCAGTTAATATCTTCATTAATTTGGGGATGGGGAAAGAGAGGCTCTCATTTAAGGAAAGGTATAAGTATACTCTACTGCCACCATGCTACAGTTTTATGAACACAAAAATCACTTCACAATCCTGTAAGTTACTTAACTTCCCCCAAAAAAGGATCTAAGAAATACAAAGTACCAGACAAATGCGGGATCTGTTAGTAAATCTAAGTTATTGAAAAGCACAAAAAAGATGATCCCGTTTACATGGTATGAAGTATACAAATGTATACATAAAGACATAATGCTCAAAACAACTGAAATGGTGGGTTTCTTTGGTAGAATTTAGGATAAACGTTACATTTCTGCAGATACTGCTTCAATCTTGGATAAAAGGAATCATTTTCAAAAAATGATAAATCTCTTTTTTCAGGAGGAAGAAAGTATAAAAGGCAACTGCTACCTGCTGAATAAATTACATGAAAAAAAAAAAAAACAAAACCTCATCAATATGGCCCTGATCGTGATCTCTTCATTAAAAACTCAAGTTATCAAAGGACTTTTTTCTTTCAAAAACAGTCAACAACTGAAGTATGGCCCTGATCGTGATCTCTTCAATAAAAACTCAAGTTATCAAAGGACTTTTTTCTTTCAAAAACAGTCAACAACTGAAGTATCCCTCTCTTGCCACAGTGTGTCACTCTTACTGTACAAATATTTTTGAATTTCCATAGGACAGGGGAAACTGTTTAAAAGCAGATTTAATTTTCAAATTATTAATCCCCACTTGCCAAAAGGCAGCCCTGAGGACAGAGTCCTAGGCTTATTCATTATTATAAATACCTGGCAGCACCTACAAAGTACTCAAAATGCACTTGTAATTTTTTAAATACAAACTTATCAAACTTACACAAATTAAAACAAATCTTGAATATAGTAATCTTATAAATAAATTCACTGATGCCACCTTATCCAGAAGGAAGAAATATGATTATGATGCTTTAAGTGGCCAATTTAGGCAGGCATTTTACAAAAATCACCAGTTAAAGCAAACGGCCAGGTGCAATGGCACAAGCCTGTAATCCCAGCACTTTGGGAGGCTGAGGCGGGTGGATCTGAGGTTAGCAGTTCCAGCTCAGCCCAACCAACATGTTGAAAGTCCGTCTCTACTAAAAATACAAATATTAGCAGGGTGTGGTGGCAGGAGACTGTAATCCCAGCTACTATGGAGGCTGAGGCAGGAGAATCGCTTGAACCTGGGAGGCGGAGGTTGCAGTGAGCCAAGATTTCGCCATTGCACACCAGCTTAAGTGACAAATTCCATCTCAAAAAAAATAAAATAAAATAAATAAAACAAAAAACAACCCAACAACAACAACAACAAAAAACAAACAAAAAAGAAAATCAGCAATCTAGCAGATGAGAGATGAGAGTAACACAATGAGGAGCATAGTGTTTGACCTGGACTAAACCTGAATGCTTAACAGCCAAGAAAAACCGAATCTACACTGATCTAAATGTTAACAAAGTCGATGCATATATGAAAGTTGTCAGGTTGAGTTACTGACGCATGTTGCATTGGTCAGCATAAAAACATTACTACTCTGATTAACATATAAAGATGCAACATAGTAAGATTTTTCACAGACATACTAATATCCCCTACCCTACTGTGTGCAAGCCTAGGCAAAAATCCAGTAAGTGGCTGGTGAAATGACGGCATCTAATGTGTGAAATTTGGCAATAAAATCTCTAATTTTACCACAATAACAGTACCAGTTTTTAAACTAATGGCATTTTTGGCTTGCTATATTTCTGAAGGCGACTTGATTTAATGATGAGGTTTTCTCACAGTGAGCACCTACATTACTATTATGCAGAAAAACTACAAGTGGAAAAAATTATGAAGAAAAATTTAAAAACAATATTTAAATTTTGATTCAGAAAAAAAATGATTATAAAGCTGCAAGCATAAATATCCTCTTAGGTAGTGTACTCTAAAAAAAAATCAAATTTTCCTCCTGTAAGATGGGAGTGACTAAAATATCTCAAGAGTCTTTTAGTTTCAAAAAGCGTAATTATCTGACAAATAAGTAATAATATAGAATAGTAGTAACCTCTAGATTTAAAATTACTATAATTAGATTACCAAGTAGGTGACATAAGTATATTACATTTACTTATATATAATATCTATTACACTTATATTACCTTATATGTCTACAACCTTGAAAACAATCAATGATCAACAACTTTTCAAATGTTGTTTTAAAAGGCACAACTAACATAATTTTCACATTTAAATTACTTTTATAAGACCATGAAATACTAATGATTACATTTAATCATTTAATAATTACCAATGTTAAAGAAACCTCACTTTTAATAAAAATTACTATTTTATATATGTATTTTATTCATGGTCTCAAGTATGAATTTTTTGATGAAATATTTATGAATTTTACAGTTCATAAATAGAAGTTCCCCAATTCTTAAGACTAAGATTAAACAATAATTTCAAGAAAGAGCTATTCGTTAGCAGGCTGTTCTTAATATATTTAATACCTTGTAATTTTCATTAAAATATGACTGAGCAATAAAACTAAAACTTCAACTAATTCTCATAGAAATTTCTAAATATGGCAGCTATCAAAAGAAAACAATTTTTTTTTTTGCTTTTGTTTCCTTTTGAAGTTGTTTAGAGGCACATTATCAAACCTTACTGATTAACAGGGAAGAAGCAAATTATATAGCTTTTAACCAAAATATGCCTAATGTTGACTTTTGTTTTGATAATTTTATTAAGATATTAAAACTGCTTTAGGGTAGGGCTTTAGTTTAAAAAAAGAAGTACTCTCTAAGTAAGTCACATTTAAAATTCTAAAGGTTTTTAAAGTAGAATCTCAACATTCTAAGCAAATTAAAATTGAAAGTATATATATATTTACTTGCTAATTTACAATACAAATTTGAAAAAGCTCATTTACCTACTTTGCTAAGGACAGAAAAGCATTGTATTCACTGAACTCAAGTAGAAAGTTTACTTTTCAGATACCTTTAGACTGTTAACATAAAATATTTCATATTTGGATCGATGGTTAGAGCAAACAATATAGTCTTTATGTTCAACTTTTAGAAAGGGGCAAGATGTTAGGAGGTTTAAGTAAGTAATGCCTAATCTCCTAATTCATGTCAAGACTAATTTAAACTCTTCTGATTAATTAGTAGGGGAGATATGCTTTCTACATGTTAAGTTGCTGAATATTTTTTAAAAACATCTGGCACATATACTTCTGGTAAAATTGTATAATTTACTTTTACTATAAGATATTCGGGCAAGTAGTTACAGTGACTACACAAACTAGTGCAGATAATTGCATATCTTATTAAATTAGAATCCCAACAAGCCTGAGCAACCCAACTCTGCAATAACATAGGAGACCATTAAAGATTAAAAGAAAGAAAAATAGGAAGAAAAGAAGAACAAGAAAGCCCTTCAGCAAATACTTGAACAAATAAATCACTCAGGCAAAGCCAAACAAGTTTTGAAAGGGCCTGCTTTGACAGATGTTCTCTGGAAAAGCAAAGGCTTCAGGCATAACAAATGGTTTTATTATTATTTGTTAAAGCTATGGAACATTATTAATGTTGTTTCTGTATTTTTCAACTATTATTTATAACCACTGTTCAGGGACTCTCCCCTACTGCCACTTCAAGACACTTATCAAGGTATTTAATGCTCATTTAGATTTGCTGCAAGTATAAAATTAATCACAAAAGCAATTTTGCTCCCTCACTTAGGGAATAAAACTTCCTAAAAAATTTTATAAAGCATCAAGGGTCACTGCATCTTTTAAAGCTATTAAAAATCATCCATATTGCTTTTACAACAGGGCCTATATACAATTCCTGCTATAAAAGCCCACATAAGAGTTGAAGCAAAATTTAAGAGTTCTTATATTTATCTGTATGAATAAGATTTGATGACTGTTGGCATTCATAAAATTCAAAATGCAGGTATTCTGGATAAAACCTGTTTACAGAAAATCAAATTCCAGAAAATGATCATGCAAAGTGTACTTACCAGTGCTTATGCCTTCCCTTCACCTAACGCTTGAATTCTAGGCTTCCAGAAATTTTTCTATCTTTCCAATTAAAAACGCTGCAGCCTGCTACACTCCATAAAATGGCCGCGTTGTTTAACCAAGAAAAACATGTTAGAGATTGAGCTGTCACTTTTAGAAGAAAAAAAGAAAATAAACAATTGCTTCTTTTGTGGTGAAGCATAAAACACTTAGGCTGGCATTTTGAATCATGGAGCTCCCCTGGCCGTTGCTATTGCTCTTCAAGTAATTGTAGTAAAATTTCTGCCACATTCTTGCTTTCTGCATGGTGTCTCAGCAGTAACAGATCTGAACAGGCTAGCAAACAACTCCTTCCTAAATGTAAGCTCTAATTTCTTCTTCTGCAGTGAAATGAACCAAGTTTCTATGCAAAAGAATGAGTGACAGCACTCCCAGCCAATCAGCTTGGGTTTTTCAGGAAAATCACCCCTTAATTCATTCAAAATTAGGTCATATGACACTATTTGAAATACTATTGGCTTACAATGAAAGAAATGTTCGACTTTACACAGGATAAGGCCACCCATCTATGCTTCCCTGGGCTAAAGACAACTTGACTATAACCGGTACTGTGAATTAAATACACACACACATACAGGGGGAAAAAAGAATAAAGCCTTACCAGAGCTTCCCAACTATTAAAGGGCCGGAGTTCTGTTATCTTCTGAGCCTTTTTCTGAGAACACTGAGGAATCAAAGTAAGTTCACCAATCGAAGCATCTTGAAGAAAGTGAAGAATTTTACCTTTATACCCATCCTCCATCACTTCTTCACCACTACTATAGTCCTCATCTAGTGAACTACCGACATCAGAACCTGAATCATATTCAGAGTCTTCAACAACTCTCTTTGGATTAAATACATTTTTTTTACGTTTCTTGTTAAAGCCATTTTGTGCTTTCATTGAAAATTTCTGTTTTAGTTTTGTTTTAGTTGGATTTTTAGGATAATTTTGACTCCTTGAAGAAACTTCTTTTCCATTTGGAACCTCACTTTGTGATGCATATTGCATATCTGTATGCAAAAGACAAAAACAGAAACTAAATTACAAATAAATAAATTAAATATAAAGGTAGATTTTAAATAAAAACTTAAAATATTCACCTATTCCTTTTGAATACGAAGAATTCAACCACAATTTATTAAATACTGATACGCTTTAAAAAGAAATACTGAAGTAGAATTTGAGGTTAAAAATAAGTTTCAAAAGCAGGTGGTAACTTGATTTTAAAATGAATTAAATGTAAATTTCTATTTTGCGACAAAGGTCCTGAGAACATAAATGGCAACTGCATATCCCTATGATGTCCCAGATATTCCGAGCAGCCCCACTCACTATGCCAATGCTGAAGAAAACAGCAAAAATGATGCTTACCCTACTATAAAGCTTACAAATGAAAAGTGTGTATGTTTCAACTATCCATAATTTTTCAATACTATCTTCAGTATTCTAAGTTTCATCATTACTTAAAAAATTATTCAAATACAGTATTATCAAAAAGCCACATTCCTTATCACTGACTAATCTATCAGTTTACAGAATTCTAAGATGCCTGTGAATGAAGGTACACCATTATTTTATGTACCAGTGAGAAAACATGCACCAATTAATCTATAACACAATACTTTATTCAGAATGTTTTACTTACTCAGAAAGCTATTAGACTTATACAGATTCATACCTTTATTTTTGTGCATTTATAAAAAAAATAAGTAAAATACATTGGCTAAAGTATTCCTTAAATTTTTTCACATTCGTAACATGGCTTTTCTCATCCATTTTTCAAACTCAGATTTGGTAGCTTTCTTTTTGCCACAGAATATAATTTTCTGCGCCATCAAGAGTATTGGTAGTATAGCCTTTCTTTTAAAACAATTTATTTTAAAAAATCAAATCCAAAACACCTAAAGCTACCATGCTGGGCTTTGAAAGCTGGCTTTGCAATTATGAAGAGCTAGTCTACTTGATTCTTCCTTAGGTATGT